TCCATATTCCTTGACAAATTCATAACATTCCTCAGTATGGCAATAATGAAAGTGTATCATTTTATAATAGCTATCATCATACATCATTAATTATTGGTATATATAGCGAAAAAAATTACTTGTGTATATATTTACCCTTTTTCTTTTTTAGTTCAGAAAATGATTTATATGTTAACTATATATATTAACTATACACGTTATCTATTTTTTTTTCTGACTTCGAACTTGTGAGAAGGCAGTATGCAGAAAAATTCAAATCAAAAATTAATGCTCGATATACCGTGGGATCAAAAGTCACGCACTCATATGCAAACAACGATACTCCAATACCTAGATTATATAAAGGGTTTTTGTGCCGCACGATTTTGATTAAGATAAATTTCAGGTAAGTACTTCTGATATATAAGGTAAGGTACATATTCGATAACCATTTTTGTGTTATTCCAAAGTAATCCAATTGAATTTTTTGCAATACTAATTATACAATTAGTCAAAATATGAGTGGAATTATTGAAAATGAAAGCGAATCAGAGTATTATACTACTGATGAAAGAGATACATTAAGTATATGTAGTAACAATTCTGCTGACTTATACCATTTACATCTAATAAAACAACAAGAAGCTATACAAGAGCTTTTTCGATCATTGGGTTTCATTGATATAAATAATACTTTCATTCTTTCTGGTAATACTGTAACAAAAGCATTCGAACAATCTCGTGAAAAAATTATTAAAATTCAGCAAGAAACATATTCACTTTTTGATTTCAAGTCTCGAGCTAAAGGTATTTCCAATCTTAATATTACAGTAAAATTGATTAATGCGATATCTGGTAATTGATATGGTTATACTATAAAAAGTAGTAGAAAACAGGAAGGTCCAAAAAAACAACGAGTTTGAAAATACAATTACTGGATTGATCATTAGCTATATAAAAAAATCAGCTTTGATAAGAAATAATACAAATGTCTAAATTATAAAATAATATCTATAGTATAATCGAGTAATATCAAAGGTATTACTTTTTTTGTTATCCCAAAGTTTCCGATATAATGTTATCCTAAAGTTTTCGATATAATGATATCTCGAAATATATAAAAAGTATAATTTAGGTATCAGCATAAGCTAGCTAAAGGTTGAAAAAAGATGTTATTCCAAGGTATTACTTTTTTTGTTATCACAAAGTTTTCGATATAGTGTTATCCCAAAGTTTTCGATATAGTGTTATCTCAAAGTTTTCAATATAATGATATCTTGAAATATATAAAAAGTATAATTTAGGTATCAGCATAAGCTAGCTAAAGGCTGAAAAAAGATGTTATCCCAAGGTATAATTACTACAGAAAGATATATAATATATAAATTGTGCTTTGGGATTACATACAAATAAGTATCGAAAAAAAGTGATATCCCAAGGAATAATTATTACAGAAAGATATATAAAATAAAATTATGCTTTGGGGTATTAGCGGATATGATAACAATTCGGCACTGCGTGCCTTGGGTTTGATATATTTTTTGTCATTCCAAAAACCTTCTAGGTGGGAATAGATGCTTCACTATGTTTCGCATCAGGACCTTCCAGGTGGGACTATTTCGGCACTACGTGCCTCAACTCTGGCCCTCATCGAGGAATTAACCAGAAAGCTAGGGCACTACATGCCCAGTTCGGGCATAGCCCTCACATCGGTTCACAAATGACGACACGCGACTGTATGCATCGTCAGATATATTTTTTACCCATGTGGCCTGATACATAAAATGCACCACCTTGGTGTGTGGCCTAAAAAATATATCACGCTGCTGACGATGGTGGCCAATTTCTGTCGTCAGACTATATGACGATGGTGGCCAATTTCTGTCGTCAGGTCACACACCTGAGACTATTGTAGTCTAAGTTAAGCCGTTTGGAGTTTAATTAAACTCCAAACGGCTAAGGTTAATAAAGACCTTTGAAGAATAATATCAAAAAACAACAAAATACTTATATTAACATTAACTTTCGAAGGTTTTTATTAGAAAAAATTTCTGGATGTATTTTATATCATCAGTAAATTTTAATAGACAAAAATTTTTGAAAATTTACATCATGTTAAATTTCTGTAATATTACGGGACCCACAAAAATCTACAGAATTTTAATAAAATTTTGACATTAATATAAATTTACGGAATTTTATATTAATGTAAATTTACAGAATTTTGCATTGATATAAATTTACAAAATTTTACATTGATGTAAATTTACGAATTTTTGCATTAATGTAAATTTATAGAATTTTATATTGATGTAAATTTACAGAATTTTAATGTTAATATAAATTTTTTATAATAAAATTCTAAAAATTTCAATATAATAAATAGATTTTCTAATAGACAAAAATCTTTAAAAATATCAAAAAAATTTTTAAATGGAATATTCTGTAATTTTAACAGAGTATTAAATTTTCGTAATTTTTTACATAATATTTCGTAATTTTAACATAGTGTTAAATTTTCATAATTTTTTGAGTATAATATTTTGTAATTTTAACATGGTAATAAATTTCTATAATTTTTACATAATATTCTGTAATTTTAATATAATGTTAAATTTTTGTAATTTTTTGAATATAATATTATGGAATTTTAATATGGTATTAAATTTTTGTAATTTTTTGAACATAATATTATGGAATTTTAACATTTTAATAATTTTCAAAAATTTCTGTAAATTTTTGTAATATTACGTGAAAAATTACGGAAATTTATCACAATGTTAAAATTACAGAATATTACGTCCGAAAAAATTTCCTGATGATTGTAATGTAATTTCCTATAAAATTAAAAATAATTATCAATAGTTATTACATATATAATTTTTTATTTTATAAGTAAATATTAAAAATAATACTAAGTAATCTTAAAAACAAAAAATATATTACATATTATATTAAAAAACAGACTTATTTTATTAAAATCAAAAAATTATAAATGAATAAATTTTAAACAGATGAAAAATTTTAAAATAATAATAATCTGTTTAATTTTAATTAAACAGATTTATAATTTTTACAAAAAATATAATTAATATTTATTTTTAAAGTTACTTAATGTTATTTTTAATATTCACTTATAATATAAAAAGTTTTATATATAACTATTGACACTTTTGTATATTATAATTATCATCAGAGAATTTTAATAAGATGGATAACAGAGGATTTTATATATTTTTTGACTTCACTCACAATTTGTAAAGTGTAAATACTAAGATATTTCTAAAAAGAAAAAATGGTCTTATTCTTGATTACAAAATAATATGTATTTTATTTCAGTAGTATTGATATTTGTGAAGATATCTACATTTAAATTAAATATTGTAAAAATTTTTTATCATAAATTTATCATTAATTTTTACAGATGTTTGATTTAAACATGAATATCTTCACAAAATTAATATTACTGAAATAAAACACATATCATTTTGTAATCAGGAACAAGACTTTCTTTTTTCTTAGAAATATCTTAGTAGAAAATCATTTCCTGTCACATAAATCATAGCTGAAGTCAAAAAATGGAATTTTTTTATATAATTTTATGTATAAATCATATAATTTATATGGCTGAAAATTTATAATGGAAATTTCACAATTGTTTGACTTTAAACACAAATATCTTTGAAAATATTGATTCTACAGGAATAAGAAATATATTATCTTGTAGTCAAGAACTAGGGCTTTCAATTATTATAGAAATACCTAAATATAAATTGTTTCCTGTTATATACAGTAAATCATGGCTAAAGTCAAAAAAGGAATTACAGCAGAATTATGGCATTACAGAAAATTATTGTTGGTGTAAATAAGTACTGTCGGTAAGTTGCTCTGAGAAAGTGGATGAGATCTTGCTAACCATGGATGCAAAAATTTTTAACACCCTTCACTTTACAAAAAACCATATCACATCTACCTCCATATCACCTAATACCAGCTCATATGTCATTTGGTATGGCTGCAAAAGTACCAAAATTTATATGCCCCAACTATAATTAGCACTACATCCGAAATTTGCATGAGGGGGTAAGGTTTTTATTATAGATGAATCCTGGATCAGAAATGGTATTGCTAAATATCACCGCAGGTGATTGTCACCACTAAGCAAAATTTCATCAACCCTAATCCTAACTTTGCCCATGTAAATTTAATTTTGCTCGATGATGAAATCACCTGCGGTGATATTTAGTAATTTTCAAAAAAACATGTGGATTCGATTAATAGCGTGACACCAATTATCCGCCTTCTCATAACTGTGCCATCCGTATATGTTTCTAAAATTAGTTACAATTACAATCTAATTCACGTGAATGCACAAATAATTGGGTTTTTCCGTTATAAAATGAAGTGTAATTTTTGATTTTGATTTTGATTTTTTCGTTCTCACATTTTCTCTCACAATGTTTAAACGAAAGAAGGAAAAAAAACCTGTTTGGAACCTTCCTAGGAACCTTACTGAACTCGGATATTTAATCAATGAAGAGGGACAGCTAAGAACAATAAAAGGTACAAATAGAGTAATACTGTTCCCTTTTACGCGACTGTTTTTTTTAACATTATATAAATTTTTCGCGTCATAGATAATGAACCGTACGTTTTCGATTTAAAAGAAAAAGCTTATAATGAAGCTTTGTATGATGTTATTATTGGTATGCTTCTTTCTATTAATATTTATAGAAGTTCATTAAATATTGTAAAAAACTCTATTAAATTTTCACGTTATTATTTTCAGATCTTTTGGGCGAGTGGGTTGAAGAAAAACTTGTCAGCGATGTTGGAATGCTACGAATTTTGTTACCATTAGGTGCGACTGAGACGGATATTCACACAAAAATTTATGCGACGTACGCCTTTGTTTCTTTATTTTTAAGTGACTTTTTACAATTTTCAAAGATTAATTTACGAATTACTAATAAACTTCTAGTCCGGATTATCAAAAAAATGAAAAAATGATGGTTTTTATTCCTGGAACGGCTCATACGTATGTAGTATTTTAAAAATATCTCGATTAAAGAAACAAAAATGAATAAAGATTTGAAAATTTATTTAATTTTATTTCAGAGTTGGTATTTGGTCACGAAGAGTTCTCACAGATACTTCAATTGTGGTATGTTCAAAAAAAAAAAAAATTAAGAAATTTAAAAATAATTATATTAATGAATTTTTTTAAAAGGATGGTTCAATGATTACTTACGCCAAACGAGCAATTTCAATGGGATATTCTGTTGTTATTTGTAATCCCAATGAAGTATTTTGGTATAAAGGAAAGGGTGTGGTAAGATATTATTAACATACACACACACACACACACACACACACACACACAAAAAAAAAAGTTGAGGAATTAAAAATTTAATTACATTTAATTGCATTTAAATAATATCAAACTCTATAATAAAAAAATCTATAGCTTATTCTTCCCAGGGCCAATGTGTCCTTTGATGCGATTCCAGGTAATTAGAAATCTAAATGCACAATGCGTTTAAAATAATTTTAATTTGAGTGGTTTATCGTTTAGGAAGTGAGTCACCTGAAGAGCATACAGCTTATGTATTCGAACATATTATTATGTAAGTGGATATAAAACTTCAATAAAATTAATTTTTAAAGAAAATAATCTTTTTAATTAAGGATTCTCATTTTAAAAGACCATCCCCTGCGAAAAAAATATTTACTATCGCCAATAGTTATGGAGGTCATTGTGCCATTAATTCAATTCAGACTTTTTGTAAGTTGTTTTGTGAACTTTTTACATGACAATAAATAAAAAAATATAGCAATATCACCACTGGTGATTGCAAAATTACATAATTCCCTGATCAACCATAACCCTAACTTTGCCCACGTAAATTTAATTTTGGCCAGTAGTGACAATCACCTTTATTAATTTTCTAATAAAAAAAAAATTAACACAATTTATGTATTTTTGTAGTTGATGAACTAAAAGATAGGGTAAAAGCTATTGAATTCACGGCTTCTACACATTCAATTGATTTCGTTAAGACCGATAAACTAAAAGTCTGGATTCATGAGGTATAGAAATTGCATTTTTCGTTAATTTAAATTATTTTAATTAAAATTAATTGTCATTTTTTTTTAGCATTGTCGCAATTGGATAATGTCTGATTTACCTGTCGGGAAAGAAGTTCTTGACACAAGATTTGGTTGTGTCTCTTTATCTTCAGGTAGTTTACTATTTTTAAAATTCATAAACATCAAAATTTATGTTCAATATTTAAGATAAATCTAATAAAAAATGACAACTAGGAGCCGAACTTAATGAATATGTAGTTGCCGCCGCGATCGATCAAGTATTTGATTTTATCGATAGGAAATCCAAGTTACCTGACAATTGGCATGAAAGTATGATGGCAGAAGAAATAGAAGAGGATACTCCTGAACAGTTAGATCTGGAAGCTCAAAGATTATTTGCAGATAATTCCTTAGTTAACGATGTACAAGATAAGATTCAGTTTGATGGTTATCCTGTATTGGAAGAAGTTGAAAATTCAGCCTGGGTTCAATAAAATCTTTAATTTTAAATGTAACATTTGTTATGCAAGTAGACAAAATAGACAGCGGTATTTTTCATTAGTTATAAAATACATTAGCATCATTTTTATCAGAGGAGGGAGTTATACCCTTTATATCTATGTTGAACTTAGCATAATCATATTCATTTTAATCTTTTTTTTTGTAAACATTTAATCATCACATTTTGCATGTTGATAATTAAAGTGATAACGTAATTTATTTATTTATTTATTTATTTGAGGAATTGAAAAAAACCCCCAGCTTATAAATATAAATGATATTGTTAAAACATCCACCCATTTTCTAAAAACCAAAATTGAATAATATGTAAACTTATTTACAAAGGAAAAAAATAAAAAAGATATGCCTAAGATGGCATGAATTATAATTTTGGACTATATAAATCTTGACTAAAGCCAACAGGAGTTTTTTCTTCTTTGCCGCCATCTTCCAAAGAATAAGCATTCAAGTTTACATTTCCTGCGACTCTGTTTTCCCTAAAATTTTTTATTGCCTCTTCAGCATAACCGGAAACATCATCATCTTCAACAAGCCACAATGCCTTTTCGTTTTCATCCTTGTTGGCATGTTTAATGGAATTAAAAATTGTTGGTGACGAAGTTGAAATATAATTGGATAAATCTTGAGCAGCGTTTTCCAACAATTGTTGGATCTTATCAAGTTTTTTTATATCTGCAATTTTTGAGTCAACTTCTAATTCCAAATCCGAGTTTGATTCTAAATTTGGATCTTTAATTCTATTACCACCTAATCCATATTTTGCTTTGATATCATCAATTGTGGTCTTCAAGGACCAATAATCTTTATCAGCGTCGTATGCTGTTTGCATAGCATGTTTTACATTTGAACTTGCATTAATGTTACGATTAAATTGGGTTGAAACTGGGAACGTATATTTCATAGAAAGGCTTATTATTGAACTTTGAGAATTCAAACGATTAGCAATGCCTCTGTTAGAACGAAAAGCAAATCTTGATAAAGACATATTTTAACTTAATTTATTTACTATAATTTAAAACTGAAAATGAAAAAATTGAAAAATGAAAAAATGGGAAAGGGAAAATGTGCTTTCTTTTATACGTAAATTCACGTGGACAAATGATTTGTAATAAAATTCACATTTCTCGCCTTTTTTTGGTAATTACACAAATGAACAACGATGTAAAATTGTACATCGCTACTGTGGGAAAAAATCTTGTGTATATCTAATTTGAAACGAATTGTTTTGATAACATGATTCTTTATGATATAATACTGCACCAAAGATAATGTCCTTTATTCAGTTAAAAAATCCCTGTTTTCACACTACTGGTATAACCTTATTTGGTGGGAAATTTAAAAAATCGCGTCCATTTCGCCAGTATTGTATCTATTTTGCAATTTATCTGTTATAAAGAAACTTTAAATTCAAAAGTATAATACACCTACTGAATAAAAATTGGGAGAATTGTATAATAATTAAAATTAAAATGTTTCATTTCTAGCTTTAAAGGTTTCTTTAAGATGAATAAAAACTTATACATATATATAAATGAAGAACTTTATTTGAATAGAAAATTTGCGAATTTAACGAACCAAAGATAATAGATAGCGAATCATTCCCTTAATTGATGAAAGACTTCTATTCAGAATTTGATGAAATTTCTTTGGGGAGGATTATCTCCTGACACTAAAAATAGTAAGCAATACAAAGCAATCAACTAATGCTGAATATAGTCTAATATTATGTATTACAGCGATCATGCTCAAGATCGAAAATCACTTGATTTAATTTACAAATGATTTCGTGATTTTTGCTCATTTTAAAGTTTTAGTTATAAACCATGTCAAGTATTTTGCCAAATCAAACACTATATGTTCGAAATCTAAATGAAAAAACTAATAAAGAAGGTATTCGAATTTTAGATTAAACAGTGGTTTACGATAGTATTCCTTAAACCTTATTATGTATCATTCTCTTAGAATTAAGGAGATCTTTGTATGCTCTCTTTTCGGCATACGGACGTATTCTCGATATTGTTGCTTTGAAAACGATAAAAATGCGTGGACAAGCATTTATAGTTTTCAAAGAAATTCAAAGTGCTACAGCAGCTATGAGAGGACTGAATGGGTTTATGTTTTATGATAGAACTATGGTGAGAATTTTGATTATAATTGAAATGGGATTATCATATACGTTTATAAGGAACACGATACAAAAATAATTTTTTTTTTTTTACCGAGAGGCATTAAAAATAAGCCATTTGGGCTGATAATACCATCCTTTATTTTTTTTTTTTTTTAATTATAACTATATATCTTTTCAAGGCAAAACCGGTCTAGAAACATAGCGGAAGATGATATGAATCTCACCTTTATTCTATGTATATTTTTTGTCAATTCGTAATATTTAATAAATATAGCACATAGAGTATGCTAAAGGCAAATCAGATGCTATTGCAAAATTGGATGGAACATGGAAAAAAACTTCTTTACCGACGAATCTAAGTTCACAACGCGTAGTAGGAACAGTTTCTTCGGCACCTGCAGTGAAAAGACAAAGAGAGGAAGAATGTATGAAGCTAATTTTTTTGTGATATTTATTTTTGTTACAATTTTATTTTATTTTTTTTATCATTTTTTTTTTATTTGCAAATATTGAATATAAGTTTATCCTTTTTACTTTTTAGGGTTGGTAGATCATAAGCGAGCAGCGAATGGAGGACGAAAAAACGATATAGAATCGGAATCACCTGAAATAGGTATTCGATTAATTTATACAGCATTATAGTTAAACTCGTTATAGAATTGTTGATTCATTTTTTTTTCTTTAATTCAGAAATGGAAGATGAAACGGAATTGCCAGCACCAAGAGTGGGGGCAAATGCAGGTGCTACTGGTGCAAATGAAACAGAACCACTCAATAGAATATTATACATACAAAACTTACCACCAGATGTAACGGATGAGATGTTGAGTTACTTGTTTGAACAGTAAGTTTATATCTATTTTAATATTATTTGGTATCAAATATGGGATATTAATAATATTAATTTTCTTTTCATTAATTCAGGTATCCTGGTTTTAAAGAAGTGCGTCTTGTTCCTGGTAAATCAGATATCGCTTTCGTGGAATATGAGTCAGATAATCAAGCTGCTGTTGCTAAAGAAGTATTGAACGGTTTTAAAATCACCCACGATAAAGAAATGAAAGTGACTTTTGCAAAAAGGTAAAAAAGGTTAGTACGTAGATTTATGTTACATTTATAAAAAAAACATTTCTCGCGGCGTGAAAAGGCATCTTGTTCAATCTCGATTATTTTTATACATTTAAATTTCTATTATTATTAGGAAAATGTATTGCTTCTATTCCTGTATTACATTCTTCTTTTTAAAAGCTTTAATAAATCATAATCATATTTCCTATTTTGATTTTATCACGTGCATTATTTTCTGCAATTATCATTTGTTTCCAAATAATATTATGCAATAATGCAAGTAATCTAATATTGCGAATTAATAAAATTTTATCAGTATATCCTATATCCAGCATAATTACTTTTTAAATTATTATGAATTTAGAGTCAAATTGAATTCATCAATTTCTTAATTTCTTGAATTTGTAAAATTCGACACTATATTTTATTAGTATTTTTATTTAAATTATGATTTTCTATCGACAAATAAATTTTGTTTAAATTTTTAAACAAACAATTTAAAAGGATATCCTGGGTTCTTTGTTCGGAAAAGTGCAAATATAAAGCTAGAAGTACCGACTAATAATCCTGTCCAAAGCTAAAAATGAAAATAATATAAATAAATTTTTTTACATAAGAATATTAAATAAGATATAAGGAAAAATATAAAAAATTGAATTACATATACTCCGAAACGCTGTTTAGTGCTATCTTCGATCTTCGGAACATGGAATATCAAGTAACACATTGAAGACGCGCAAACAGCATCTAGAAATAAATAAAAAAAAAATAAAAAATGGATAAATTTTTTTTTTTTTTTTAGAAAAACATGCTGATTGTGTTGAATGTAATCTTACACATCATTGCTACAATTTGGCTTTCCATTCCCAATTGATTAGAAAACCCTGATGCGATATAGCTGATTTGCCCATTATTCTGCAATACATAAGGAGGACCTCGAATATGATTCCACATGTGCCCAGAAATCATCATAAGGATTATGACCTAATGGAATAAATGAAGAAAAAATTGCATATATTAAGTATATTAAGCAATACATATTATATATCCCACTGAATTTTATAGTCTGTGGAAATATCACCAAAATTATCATGAGCGACCAATTAGTAAACGTGAGATAAATATGTGATATGAATATGTCGTTGAAAAAAATGAAAAGAAATAAATTTACCAAAGAAATTGCTGCCCAAGTATTCCTATTCTGGAATACTTTCTTGATAAATGGATAAAGTAATTTAATAGCTGCTAAGGTTCCAAGTATTACAAATATAGACACGAATATAGCAAAGAAATTTATAGGTCGTTTGACTGGAACTTGGATTCCCACATGACCAGATAAATATGAAGCAAATCCTTCGGCGGAAAATCCACTGGATAAATAATATACACATTGTTACCAAAAAAATACATAAAAAATCTTAAAATAAAACTAATTGAGATACCGTCTATTAAATTCATATCTATTCGGTTCGGAAATTTCTTTAGCATAAGGACCAGTGGTTGGGGGGAAATAAAACATTGTTGGTGCATTATTTAAGTTAAGCTAAGAGGCAAGAATTATAGCATATCCGAATTTCAATTAAATTTCAATCAAATTAAATTTCAATTAACGCGTTTTTTTTTCTCAAATAAAAGAGTAGATATCGAAGAAGTACTTTTGTTATTAATAACCTTGGCATAAACTTCTCTGCCCTTCTTGAAATCTAAAATGCCAAAATATAATCGAGAATGTTCGTTTCTTGAAGATTGCCAACTTTTTGCCACCAATCTAAACTCCGGATCAAATTCTCTGGGTTTGTAGATAATCAAAATATATTTGTATTAAATAATAATGTTAAGAATGTTAAGGGAATTCCAATGATAAATAAAATTAATAAATCGGTCATATAAAAAATGATTAAAAAAAAAATGACTTACTTGCAAGGTTGGCAATTTATTTGCGGTTCCATTGCAGTCAGAAGTATAATCATAGAATAATTCCTAGGTTTGGCAACGAACTCATCATATAAATCTGAATCAAGTTCGACTACACCTTTATTGTTTGTTGAAAATTGATTCAATGCAGAAACTTTTGCTTCTAACGAAGGTTTAGCAGCGTGGCAAACAACCAACAAAAATATATTAAAAACAAGAAAAATAAAAATTGAAACTATTGCTTGTCTAGTGGCCATAGATCTTAACGCATTTATATTAAAAAGTTTAAAAAAGTTTAAGATTTAAAGAAAGTTTAAAAAAGTTATATAATTTATTAACCACTAGATTTATGCCAGCATGTTATAGAAAAATAAAGGAATATCTGCCGGCCAGTTCATATATGACAAATAAATTACGTGCCTTGAGAATTTTTTTGATCTTACAGTAAAGCGACATCAGAATATTTTTTATTATTTATATTTTAGCTTTAAGCTTTCAACATGTTCTTTTTCTTCGTTTGTATGTTTATTTTTCAATTTAATTGTTATTTACGTTTTCGCGTCGCATTTTAGTAATTAATCAAAATGGGTTGATTTAACTGATTCAGGCTCTTTAAGTCCACATTTTACTCGCCTTAGAACATCACCTACAAGGTGCCCGAACTGTTTGGATCCTTCCCCGACAGTTTATCAATACAAGAAACAAAATAGGCTTTCGATATTTTTTATTCCCGTCTGGTGGTTTAAATCAGAAGATATATGGCATTGCGAAAAGTGTAACTGGGATGGAAGAGCAAGACCTGAAGAAGACCAAATTCGACGTTCTGAAGAAACTGAGATGGTACAACAGCTAGGACCTCTTCCAACTTGGGTGAAAAAAAAATTTTTTTAATATATTTTTTATTGCTTATAATAAAATTATAATAAAGAAAGAAAAGTTCTAAAATATATTTTATATTTATAATTATTGTAATTATTAGGGTTTAACTAGGTGTAGGAATTGTAATAAGGAGGTAAAATAATAATTGAAATTTCATAAATTTCATAAAAATTTCATTTTTAATTAAAATTAAATGAATTCTTTTAGATCAATGTTTCTGGACGCATCAAATATTGTCCGTATTGCGGTAACTCTGTTGAAGGTTAGAGGTATTTTATGTGTTTTATACTTATTTTTATGTGTATTTTTTTTTTAATCTACATAAATCAAAGAATTATACGCGTTAACACGTTGTCTTTTCTTATATTTTACTTTGACATTTTAATTGTATAAACATTTATATGTATATAATTGAGTGATTTGAGTGATTTTCAATTTATCAACGGAAATATTGCCGCTTTTTATTTCATTAACAAGAAATTAATGTAAATTTCGAAAAAAATTTTTTTAATAAACTTTAAAGATGATTTAATGCACTAATTCAAGTGAATCGATGCACACAATTCTAACCCCCTGAAATATATAAAATTCACAACTTTTATTGATTATGTATGGATGATTTTAAAAAAGGAAAGCAGAGAATTTGGAAAATATTAAAAATAGTACACAACATTTGAAATGGAAGGATTTTTCTCCGGGTTTGCTAGATGGGCTTGAATCCTTCTATAGTTCTATAGGGTACAAATTATTTGTTCAAACGTGTGACGATCGATCATAGGATGAAAGCTTCTTTTTATAACCTCGTACTACACATTCCAGACTATATATCCATATTTTTCTCTTACGTTACAAAATTAATAGATAATTTTTCAACCAAAAAAAGCATAAATTGCACCTGCCGATCTGTAAAGACTTGAATGCTCCAATGAGTACCACTACATCTCTTCAAGCACAACAAACTCAACAAACTCAACAAAAACCAGGTTTTCGTAAAATAATGAATTGGAATAGCCGAAAAAGCAATAAGAAGCTTCCTCAATTATCATATGATAGTGCTCCAGGTATTTTATGTGCATTTATATTATTTATATTTTGTTTTTCATATTGGTTTATTGTATCTGATTCCGTTATCATAAAGTATTGCGACACATGGCTTTAGATGTTCATTTTGAAAAAAAAAAAAAGAATTTGGTTGAGTTATAGAGTGTACAACGGAAAATTTTATTCCAAAACTTAAATACAGTATTACTGACATTTTTCATTTTCAATTTCTCTCTTGAATTTACGTCAATTTCAAAATTCTCTTTAATTTCGAAAACTTTAAAAATCCAAATTTTTTGTTGCGGATTCTACGTCAGAAGGAGACGACTCACAAAAATCACCAATTCCAGCAAGTCCAACTCCTAGTTTGAAGAGTTTTAAATCAGGGCGACCTTCCCTATTTGCTGCTTTTGCTCGTAGAAATTCAACTAAAAGTGAACATTCTTCAAGGAGTCGTTCGCCTACTAGTCCTAGACCATCTAACGACTTTAACTTTATATCGGATGGAATTAGAACCCCGAGTCCCACACCATCACGAAATTCAATGATTTTTGAGAGAGACATTGAAATTCATGATCACCTCAGTGTTCATGAGGCCATTGACCTCGCCATTCCTCCTGTTTTAGACGATGCTGCCGAAGCTTTTGTTAATGAAGAAATACCTACAATTCTAACAGAATCACCAAATGAAATCGAAGAAGGTGGTACCAGTAAAACTGATAATGAAAATTCATGGGTCGAAACAAAAGATTCTGAAGGAAGAAAGCGGTTGTCTTTAATAATTACTGCAGACATTGTTAATAATCGAGTACCAAGTCCTGGGCCATTTGAACAAAATTCAACAATCGCGGAGACATTAAGAGTAACGACACCAAAAGAAATTAATGGATTGACTGGTATGTTTGATAATCTATTGAAATAACCAAAGTTTTCTAAGCATGGAAGAAGATAAATTTTTTCCGTGAGCTGTGCAATGGATCAGGTGAGATGTCATTTTATATATTTTGTTTATATACATTGTAAAATTTTGTTTTCTCCAATAATTTTCTATAATTTCTATAATTTGCAATAATTTGCAATAATTTGAACAATTTGGTGAAAATGAAATTTTGATTTTTTATTTTATGGAAATTTTCTAATTATAATTAATTTTAATTAATATTATAGAGGATTCAGGGAAATCTTTAAGTAGAGTTGAGGAATAAGATTAATCAGATTTAGAAGAAAGAAGAGGCAGTTTAGGACGCACAGCTATAAAATTGTATTATTCATTATCACATATATCACATATTATTTTCGTTATTATATATAACATACATACATATATACATACATTATACAAGCATGGTAAAAATCTCTTCATTGGTCGATCAATATCGCAAAGATCAACCAATAAAATTGCACGAATTCCAAATCTCACGTATTTTGCGAATTGAATCTATTTTCCAAATCTATATTTTTATTGTTCTAATAAAAAAATTTAAAGTATTATTATAACAAAATAAACCTATTATTAAATTCTATTCTTCTATCATAAGGTAATTGGCCAAATCATATGATGTGATGTGCCGATTTTCGCGATAGTCATTAAACCTTATATTTTTCTTAAATTTACACATATTAAAGGAATTATTTTTGAAAAAAAAAAAATAAATTTTTTTTATTATTTTCTAATTTCTATTTTGTGTATTGAAATATTGTACATTGGTTGCGATTAATAGTATTACTTAGTAAAATATATATGGCTCCAGTTTTTATTGATAAAATAATATTTGTTACACAAACATGTATCAATGTAAAATGCTTAACGACGATCTAGACCCCCGGGCCTAGGACAGTATCCTAAACTGGGGTCTAGGTTAATTCATAATTATATAAACGCGTCATTTTTTTTCAACTTTCTTTCTTAACGATAAATTATAAGAGCGTTTTATTCTTTTTTTTTGTTCCAAGTTTTATAACTTTTAATAATAATATTATAATTCCTCTTTCTTTTAGTTATAACCTTATTGATTGAACTCATAAATAAATAACAGTAGAAAAGTGAGGTATTTATTCTATCGATATCTATTTCTTTTTTGATTTTCTTCCTTTATTACTCTGTTATCAAACTCTTCTCATATCTTTTGCCATATCTATCACTACACATACGAGTGTCTATGGGATGCATAAAAAATGGGGGGATTCATTATTTTTATAGAAAATATTAAATAAAGTTTATTTAATTTAGGCGAAAATTGCAAAAAGCAAGAAGACCTCCATATGAGAAGATCTCCGCCACTGCGTAACATGAGTGCCGCGCGTGATGTTTAGGTCCTTGACCATAACTGTTAGTGCAATGAGGATATGAGTGCCAAAGTGGAGAATAACAAGGATGCCTTCATGAGTGCCAAAGTATTATCTATTCTGTGTTACCAGTTCGTCTTGATGCCTCTTCATTTACCAGTGCCAAAGTGTTCGTAGTTTCACCAAAGATGAAGGGAAAGTATTCCAGTGGTACTGAAATCAGCTGAAGGAGGAAGTAGTGATAGACAATTAAATCTTGGATATTGTTATGACAATGGGATTGGAACCATAAGATTCCCGGGATTATTTTCATCAGAAAAAAAAAAAACAAGACAAATTTAACTTAAATTATCGAGTAAGTGCGGAAAAAGGATTTTACATTTATTTTCTTTATTTTTTTTTGTTTATATGTGTTTAGTTATTTCCAAGTAAAGTAATTTATTGTAATATGATAATAATAATAAAAAAAGCCCTAGATTTAAAATATTCTTGTAACAAGGTTGTATTTTGATTTTATTTAATTATTTGTTTAATAAAAATAAAAAGTTATTACATTTTATTCATGTAAAAATTCTCTTTTTCTAAAATATTATTTATTGTTGGTTGTTGTGAAATATAAATGTTATTTTTTATTATAGATCTCTTGAACATTTTTGTAGGGAATAATATATTAAAGATAATCTCGAAATTATTTTTCCCTTATAAATTATATAAATTATATAAATAAGTTGTACATGTCCTTTAACTTCAAGATATACCTCTCCAGAAATGAAAAAGCTTTTTTCACCTGCGAAACGATTTTATACTTAATAATTTTAATTTTTTAATTTAATAATTAATTATTATTCAGGTTTTAGATTCAATAGCTCTTTCAAATAAAGATCTTGGAAAACTTGTACTTACTGATAATCAATGGTATCAATTTGAAAAAAAATAATAGATTTTCTTTAGTCATTTAAAGAAATTACAATTATAATATCAACTAGCGATTATTTTTTTTTAGAGTAGCCACGCCACTGTAATTGTTATTTAAAAAATATATCAGAATGTATTTTTTTATTTTTTATATTATTATATTGTTATTATTTAATGAA